ACAATTACAATTACAATTACAATTACAATTACAATACAATACAATCATACATACATACATCATCGGACATCATATATAATCACACAACATCATACATACAATGTCTGGGTGGGGATTCCTAGGTGGCTTGAAGGATTTGTTGCGGTTGCACTGACGCCTGCAGTGGTGGCGAACCGACTCTGACTGTTCCCTAACCGAACACCCCAACCGGAACCCCGAGCTTTGCTTTAACAGAAAAGGAAAACGCAGTTGTTACTCCTACGTTCAGAGGTTCAACAGAATGCAAGCATCAAAACGCAGGATCACGACAAATGCTAAGGCATTCACTGCGATACTCCGAAGGTATAGTCAGCGAAGAAGTCTGCCGCCGCGGTGCTGTCGCAGAGAGCACCCACAGCAGGAGCCGTCGACGGCACCAGTGTGGGCCCATCCAGCGGAGAAAGCCAAGGAATTTCCGGCTGCGGGGCTAACACGGCTAATATAGGGGCCCCAATAATTCGAACAGGCTTGTGGGGTATCTCATAGTGTAGCTATGACGAGGCGCCCTAAGGAATAGCAACTGAATAGTATTGGTAATTACTGTTGCCCCTATATTAGGTTCGGACACGTGGCTTCCGAACGGTGAAACTTTCGCAGGCCTAGGTCCTGGCCCAGGTAAAGCGGTGAGACCTTCATGGTCATAGGAAAAGTGAGAGTTTGAGGAGTGCAGCCCTTCAGATTTTGGATTTTAGGACACCGTGCTTGGGGGGAAACCTATCTGCTGGCATTGACCGCTCTATACGCTAATATCTGTTCCTGTAATCCTTAACACCAAGCCTGTGAAGTGACTCACGTGGCGAACCTTAACCGGTAAGTCAAGATGCAGTTTTGTCTTCCACAGCTGATACTTACTATTTCTCATTTGGGCTGTTGGGCTTACGCTTTGCTGGCGGAGCTCAGCCCACGTGCTCGGACGCCAGCTACCAGCATCGACTTCAGAGGACCACCACCCGGCCTCGAACCTTGGTGGCTCTGACGAAGTCCCTTGTCGAATCAGGTCGGTTTTCTCGCACAGGTCTAGTTGTTATGACGAAAGCGATGTAGCCAAGCAGCTAGCGACAGCATCGTTTTCAAACGAGTCTGCTACAGAGTCAGCACCAGCATCTACTGAATCACTGGCAAGAAGTTGCGAAACCGAGGAAGTAGCTGAACCAGATCCGAAAGCCTAAGCCCGCAGACCTAAACGCCGCAAATACCAAGCTAGCTTCCCGGCCCGGTCACGAACAGCCAGGGAATCCATTCCAGCATGGCTGTGTGC